TAATTTCTTTATGTGCTTGCATAAAAAAATAGAAGTAATCACAGAACCACACAATCACCAGAGGTATCTCTCTTTCGCAGCCCTCCTGTAGCTCTCTTGTGCACCAAGCACAGTCCAAAAATGTTTCGACTGCCATCTTGGAAGTCAATGGTCAACTTTGATTTCTTTCTTAATCACAATCCTTAATATATATATATATATATATATATTGCTTTTGTCTGTGTCCAAACAAATAAGGGTCCCTTTGTTTACAATACATGGCACAAAGCATCAACCTTCCTCTCTCTTTCATTTCCTACAAAATGATGGAACAATCTATGGGTTGAGCCACCAGTTAAATCCCCTTCTCCTCGTTAAAGACTCCTTTCTTCACGTTTTCAAAAAAAAATAAAAAAATGGTTGCCCGTCCATCTCTTTATCAACACCACCCCATTATCACAACCGTCTTCTGTGTCCTAATAATCTTCGTATCAACCGCCTATGGTGATGATGATAATAAGGATTACACAGATTGCGAAAAGCCCTTTCGTTGTGGACTCTTGCCGGAACTTTCTTACCCTTTTTGGGGAGGTGATCGACCTGAAGTTTGTGGACACAAGGGGTTCGAGCTCAAGTGTGAAGAAGGTCAGCTCCCTATAATAGCCAGCGACACGCTTGAATTCCGCTTATTGAATCTAAAGCAATCTTCCAGGTTGATGACTCTTCGGCTAGTGGATTTCCAGGAGTACATTTGTCCTACTCAAATAAGAACCAATTCAAGCAGTGGCAGCGACATCCATATCTTCGGTTATGACCTGAGCCTACAAAACCTCAACTTACTCTACAATTGCTCTATATCTAGCTCGGAAGAATTGTCTAAAAACAGAATTTCGTTTTGTAATGGATATACTGGGAGCTCATTCTATGGAAATGATGATATCTTGGTAAACAGCAGTGGGCTAGACGTAATGCAATGTAGCATGAGGATTAGAATTCCCATTGCTAAGTCTTCTGGTGAGCTACTTGTGGGTGATAGAGCAGAATTGGAGGAGGTTTTAGGAGATGGGTTCAATGTGTCGTACGAGTATGATCAAGGTCCTTCAATTTGCGAGGGATGTATGGCTTCAAGAGGAATATGTGGAACTAACATGACCCATCCGGATAAAGAGTTCATGTGCCTTTGCCGTGACCAACCTTATGCTTTTGTGTGTCAAGGTAAGCTCGGCATTCCTCCCTGATCTCTCTCCTTTTCTCCCCTTGTTAATTATTAGTACCTCTTCTACCTATTGTGTTTCATTTTATTTGCCAGGGAAATGAAGTTAGTGGGAGGAAATTAGGGTTGATAATTAGGACCAAATGTACTTGGGGGGCTCTGCTCTTAATCAAAATTTTACAAGGACGTTGACTAGTTGTGTTCAAGGTTGTCATTTTTTTTAAGACATGGTACAAAAAATATAATATAAATTTAAAATTTAAAATTGTAAGTAATTTTCTTAATTAATTATATATTGATAATTCTAATAAAAAAATTAAATTACATTAAAATATGATAAAATAAATCAATAATATTATAATCAATAAGTGATCTAAATAAAATGAGAGAGATAGATAGTATGAATTAATAAATTAATGACATAGAGAAATAAAAAGTCTCGGAAAAAAATTTTCAGTAAAAAAAATTAATGAAAGGTAGGAAGTACATATAAACCTAGTGGCAACCTAGTTGTTTTTCTCACAATAAATTTTGATAGATCCATTTTGGGTTACAAGCTAATGAGTTTAAATTAGTAATTAATTAACATAAATTCAATAATGAAATAAACCCCTAAACAATATGTAATGCGCTATAAAAAATTCAAATTAAAAACAATTATTTAAAAATAAATAAATAAATAAAATAGAACAATAAAAAAGTTTTCATATTAAAATTTCTCAATGTATCCTGAATCTTTAATTTTTGTATATTCTTGGTAGATTTGAGTCCTGATTTCAAACATATTATTCTTTTCTGATTTCAAATATGTCTTTTTCTCTTATTTGAAAGAATTATTAGGCCTAGAAAATATAGTTGGAAAGATTTAGATGTCTAGTTTCTCTCCCAACTTAATTTAATCAAAGCAAAATTCCACCGATAGCCAAACAGTACATGAAGGTATTGTTAGATATATTTGATAATATTAGTTTACTAAATTGGACCCTCTGAAATATTATATTTCCTAGCTCCAGTTGACCTGAAAATTTATCATAATATATTTTCATATATATAATATTTTCCTATAAAATATCAGCTTTATTTAATATACAGTTTGAAAGATATGTTTAATCTTGTAAAAATAATCAATAGACATTTTGAGGTCAAATTTAGACTTGACTTGGTTCATATCACAAATTTGATAAACTCATAAAATCAGACCGAGTTTATTGATTTTATCAATTTTGCACGAGTTAAGTTCAATTTAAAATATTAGATACATGTTGACTCATAAAATCATAAGATTTTACGAGTTAAATCGTGATTTTAAAAATTTTGATCGTAGTAATAGGACACAATCACAAAATCAACAGCCAGGTGTATATGGAATATTAGGTAAGGTTTGGAATCCTAGACAATATTGATTAGATAAATAATTGTCTTGTCTTAAGTTCGGTGTGATTTAAATTGGATTAGATAATTTATTTTCTTTTGTGTGTTATTAGACACTTGATAGGACCTGGCCAACCTAAGGTCTAAATCATTCTGAGTTTAAGAAAAAATAGAGGAAGGATTAATCTGACCTGACCTGATCAAAAACTTAGGTCAACTTGTAATCTAGTTAACTTGAGATAAAACACAGGTAAAAAATTCCTTTATTTTTATATATAAATTCAAAATGAGGTTGCTTTGATTTTTTTAAAAGAAATTTGAGAACCCTTACAAGCCGTGACTTAGGCTTTACCTAGGTTGATCTCATTATGATAATAACCATTTTTATTTTTATATTGCTTTGGATCAATCTAGTTTGACCATCCCAAACCATAGTTGAACTTTGCCTCAATTCGACTCCTGAGTTTTAAAATTATAATAAAAATAATTATTATCATTACATTGACTTGGATCAATAGTTAACTTGACTCATAACCCAAGTCTAGCCATGAGTCGACCCCAAATTAGAATTTTAAAACTATAATAATAATCATTTTATTTTTATATTGACTTGAATTAATAATCAAACTAGTCCATTTTATGTTGACTTGAATTAATGATCAAACTAGTCCATGACTCAGGCTTAGCCCTGAGTCAACTCTCGAATCAGGTTTGAAAATTATAATAATAATAACTTGTATCTTTATATTGACTTGAGTCAATAGTCAGCTTTACCTAGAACCCGAACCTAGTTAGCCCAGACCTACTCCCAAGTTGAGCTTTAAAACTTTAATAATTATTATTTTATCTTTAATAATAATTATTTTATCTTTACATTGATATGAGTTAATAATTAACCCGACTTGTGACTTAAACTTGGCTATGAGTTTATTTCCTGGTCGGGTTTTAAAATTATGATAATAATTATTTTCATGAGTTTATTTCCTGGTCGAGTTTTAAAATTATGATAATAATTGTTTTTATTTTTATATTGATCCAGATTAATAATCAACTTGACGCGGGTTATTTTCTAATCAAATTTTAAAACTATAATAATAATTATTTTATTCTTATATTAATCTAATTCAACTAAATTATTACTTGTGCCAAGAAATGAATAACCTTGCTTTACCTGATTTAGTGGGGCAAAATTTTTTTCATTAGAATATCCTAGGATACAACAATAATTAAATAATTAATTATTATACTGTCTAAAAGTGTACCAAAAAACATCACCAAAAAAATTATAATATCCAGTCCATCATGATTACAAACACTTCCTTAGAGAATTTCCCAAGGTAAAACCCTAACTAACCCAAAATTCTCTGATTAATTAGAACAAATGGGCATTTGAATGTGATAATTCATAGTAGTTTCTCCAAGTTATGACGGGTGATAATTCCGAGTTCTGTCCTGGAGTCTATATATATATATATATATATAAACAATGGTTTCTATTTTCTTCTTGGCAGTAGTGTTTCTTATAATAAACTTCAGCTTGGTTTCCTTAACAAAGGCCAGACCCAAAACTTCCTTGAGCCTAAACGAAGACGAATTCTGCCGTATCATAAGACTCATGGGCTCAGTCCAGTCCTCTCCTGAGGCAGCACCACAGCTCCATTCTAGGTGTTGTTTGATAGAAGTTGGTGTTGTCTAGCCGATCATTTCTCAAAGGGAGCTGCCAGAGAGCTGTCCACTTTCGGTTCACCTACCCACTCCTGCCTCGAAAGTCAACCACTCGCACCTTCAATTTCAATATTAAGTGCTCGGTGCTTTTGTTTTTTTAAGATGTTTTTTATTTGAAAAAAAATTAAATATTTTTTAATGTTTTAAATTTTAATTTTAAAATTACTATATCAAAATAATAAAAAACACAAAGTAAAAATTTAATTTAAATTTTAAGATTTTTAAAAAGTATGATTAATTTGCAAGGCTAACTTCGAGATTCTCTATATTCTCAAATTAGATTCTTAGCATTTTATTGGTATCAAGCATTTTTATTCTAATTGAATTTTAATTTGTTTTTTATTAAAATTTATTTTATTTTATTTTAAATTAATTTTTTAGATTATTTTAATGTGTTAATTTTAAAAATAAATTTTAAAAATAAAAAATATGTTAAAAAATAATCATTATCATTTTATTATGCAAATCTTAATTATTACTACGAATCAAAACTCCTTATATATTCTCTGAAACTTGGGAAAACTATAGACGAATTCTATAAAAAAAAGAAAGAAAAGTCATTGACATTTAAAGCAGAATTTACGTTGAAGAGACGGCCAATCCGCGTCGCAAGTCGTTTAACGACTAGACTAGAATTCTGATGTCTCGTAATATTATTATTTACCCCATGCTCCTTACCAGTTTCCATCATCCCATGCCATGATTAGGCACCACCCAAGACTGGACCAGTCGTCATTTAGACTCATATCTCATAGCAACCCCGCAAGATTTTGTGGACTTTCCTAGGTTGATGAAATAGCAAGCAACTTGCTTTTGCTTTTGCTGCACAAAATGGTTTGTTCCTGTCCTTCCGTCCTCTTTCAATCACGAATAAACAAGAGCAACAACGTTAGCCAATTCAAATACTCTTAAAGCCAAGTCTTACCAACTACATAGGAACTCTGTTTCGAATCCTTATGTCTCCCATTTCTTCCTCTGTTTTTGAGCACTCCAAATGGATCCCAATAACTCCTTCGCATTCAGAAAGCTTCTTTCTATCTACAACTGTATCTTTCTTTTCACATACTTGGCCACCCAAACTGTATCACAGCATCCAAAGTTCAAGTCTTGTGAACCAAAAAACTGTGGTGCTGGCCCTAACATAAGCTACCCTTTTTGGCTACCTCAAGAACAAGAATCCTTTTGTGGCTATCCAAATTTTATGCTCAACTGCAGTGACAAAGGGGCAGTACTCGCAATTTCCAATGATGTTTATATCATTAAAAATATCTCTTATGCCAATAATTCTTTGCTTGTGGCTAATGCTGCTGTGTATGAGGAAAGCTGTCCAACTCCTTTGCATAACATTAACCTTGATAGAACACCCTTTACTATTAGTCCTGGCTATACTAATATCTCCTTCTTCTACAATTGTACCTCAAAGCCCAAAGATAACTACTCTCTCTATAATTTAAGTTGTGCCACAAATTCTACACATTATTCTTTTGTCGGTTTTCACTTGGAAGAAATAGAGATGCGCAGCAATTACTCATTGAATTCATGCCACGATTTTGCTAATGCTCCTATCCACACTTGTGAAGATATTGGTAGTCTGCTTGGAGAAAATTATCGTGAGGTTTTGAAGATGGGGTTCCTTATGAATTGGACTGCTCATAATTGTAGCACTTGTGAGAGAAGTGGTGGGCGTTGTGGATTTGAGAATAATGAATTCATTTGTTTTTGCCGTGATCGGCCTCGTCCCAAATCTTGTGATGCTGGTAACTCTTCATCAAATATTTCGTTTATCCCATCATCCTTGCTATGTATTCTTTCTATTTCCTAGCGTAGGCAAATTCTCGGGGAGGACTAGCCATTTCTGATTTGGTTAGGTTGAGAATTTGGACAGGTCAATTTCTTGATTAGTCCATGAATTTACATAGACAAACAACCTTTAAACAATGATGCTAACCCTGACATATTGACATGAAAAGGCACTTGTACTGTATGAAAAGTTCAATGCTTGGATGGAGTTGTGCTTGCATCAAAGTATTTGCCTGTTTAAACCATGATTCTTTCTTTTTTATTTTTTTCCCTCCGTCCTTCCATATTTTTTATATGCTGCTTTATATGGAATGCTGGATGCTTCTACTTGTTGGATTGATCTCTTCAACAGCGCAAGTACTATGCATACATCGCACTTGCAGTTTTAGAAAGCTTCAGTTTTGTTTATAAAGCTGTTCTGATCTTGCAGAAGTCTAACATTTCAATTTTTTTTGTTTTAACTTTTTTCATGAGAATATTAACACCTCGTTGCTTTGAATTATTCTATTCAGGAACTAGTTTGAATGTGGGCCGGAAGGTTGCCATAGGTAAGATCTCTGTCTATCGTTTATTTATGTTTCTCTGCTTTGTTACTCACTTCAATTTCATGTCTAAATGTCGTAGAAATTCTCTCACCAAACTGTTACTGAAAAGGCTAACCAATTTCTATATTCTGCTTTTAAGGTCTTGGGGCATCTATTGGTACATTAGTCATAATGCTCATAGCCTTCTTCTTCTGGTACCGCCGCAAGAAAAGGCAATATGAATCCATTTTCTCTAGAAGCATCAAATCGGTTCCGTCTTCAAAGGCTCATACGGAGAAGCGAAGTAGCTACAATGGTGCTCATCTATTCTCTTATGAAGAACTTGAAGAGGCCACTAACAATTTTGATAAGACCAGAGAGCTTGGAGATGGAGGCTTCGGGACAGTATATTACGGTAAAGAAATAAGAATCACTGTCTTTTGTGTTTTGTTTGAAGGAACAATTTGTTGAAAAATTTGCTTCTCCTTGCGTTGTTTCATCAGGAAAACTTCCAGATGGGCTTGAAGTTGCAGTCAAGCGCTTATACGAGAACAATTATAAGAGACTTGAACAGTTCTTGAATGAAGTTGATATTCTAACTCCCCTGCGCCATCAAAACCTTGTCCTACTGCATGGATGCACCTCTCGGGACAGCCGTGAACTCCTACTAGTTTATCAGTACATTCCCAATGGTACACTTGCTGATCATCTTCATGGTGAAAGAGCAATGCCTGGTGCACTCCCTTGGTCTACTAGAATGAATATTGCTGTGGAGACTGCATGTGCACTGGCATTTCTTCATGCTTCTGATATTGTGCACCGTGACGTGAAAACCAGCAATATTCTCCTTGACAACAATTTCTGTGTTAAAGTTGCAGATTTTGGCCTATCTCGACTCTTTCCCACAGATGTCACCCATGTTTCAACTGCTCCACAAGGGACTCCTGGTTATGTTGATCCAGAATATCATCAATGCTACCAGCTGACCGATAAGAGTGATGTCTATAGCTTTGGGGTGGTCTTGATTGAGCTTATATCATCCATGCCTGCTGTTGATATCTCTAGACACCGGCATGAAATTAATTTGTCTACCATGGCAATCAATAAAATCCAAAGCAATTCATTGAATGAACTTGTTGACCCCAGTCTGGGGTTTGAATCAGATTACGCAGCGAGAAAAATGATCAGGGCTGTGGCTGAGTTGGCTTTTCAATGTCTGCAGAATGCAAAGGAGTTGAGACCATCTATGGAAAAAGTGTTAGAGATTCTAAAAGAAATACAAAGCAGAGACTACAATGCGGAAAAGGCAGTGGATATAAATAGTCCTTCAGATGATGTTGGGTTGTTAAAGAGTGGTCCGATACCGCCTTCACCTGATACTGTCACTGTTACATGGATTAGCACGTCCTCGACACCTCATGCCAGTGTTTAATTGTTTCACTAAATTCTCAATTACATAGTGAAGACAGGCAGGGACCTATGTGCACTGAAGCATGTGATAGTGCCACTCTCTATTTATTTGCCGTTGATTGGCATTTGTATTTTAGCCAGATGTACATAAATTGTTAGTATTTGCAAATATAAATGTTCCCGTGTGTGGACCGTATTTTGAGGCTTTGCATTCACCAAGTGTTCATGAATTTGAATTTCACGAAAGCTTCAACAGGGCGTAGGCCAGTTTGGTGCATGTTAGTAGGACCAGAGCAACTATCTTGATGTCAGCAACTGCATTTGTAAATTCAGAGGGAAAGAAAAAAGATTGATGATCAAGTTCATCCTTTTCTCCCTACTTGAACTAGGTGCAGCTGGAATGCTGTTCCTATTGGCTGCAGATGTGCTATGAAAACGCTACTGGAAAGGATTGTTCTTAAATAATAGAAGGGACGATATACTGAATTTCACAGCAGAAATTGTTAAATGAAATGATGTTCCGCATATAAGAAATTTCAGGAAAAGCCATTTCACATCAATATGTTTAAAGCATGAGAACAATTCTTGACCCAGTAACTAGTTCCATGTTCAAACCTGTAGCTAGGAGATGGGCAATGCAGTTGCCAATCTGTTCATTACATGTATAAATAAAGCTGAATCTAGTTTTATTCTCGTGAATACATCAGAAAATCACATGAGCCACTCAGTTGATTCATGTGAAACATTCCATTATCTTCATACGATAGCGTGATACAAGTTCATGTTAATGATGTAGTAGATGAATATGAAAGAAATCTCGGAGGAGAATACAGGCGAGGCTTCGGTGGAATCTTCAATGCTCTAAGAGGTCCTTCCAACATTTCTATCACTTCTCTCATGGATGGTCTATCAGATGGATTTGTGAGGATGCACCACAAGCCAACTATTGCTATTTGCCTCATAATATCAGATTGTTCTGCATTTGTCACGCCATTCAATTCAAACTCATCATCTAGCTCAAGATGCCTATAAATCCAGTCTGGAAAATATTTCTCGCTGCTGGAACTCATTTCAGCTTCATGATTCTTTCGTCCTCCAACAATTTCTAGAGCCATCATTCCATAACTATAGACATCGGACTTGTGTGAAACTTGTCCAAAGTTTCTACTGAACACTTCTGGTGCTATATGTCCAATGGTTCCTCTTGCCTCCAATAGCGATACATTGCTCTCCTTCCTAGTGCATGGCTTCGCAAGTCCAAAGTCGTATATCTTAGGGGAAAAATCTGCATCAAGAAGAATGTTATGAGGCTTAATGTCAAAATGCACAATCCTTGTGGTGCACCCTCGATGCAAATACTCAAGCCCTCGAGCAACGCCAACTAAAATCTGGTACAATTTATTCCATCCCAGCTGTTGATTGGCTTGCAAAGCATTTTCATGATTAATGAACTTTTCAAGCGATCCATTGACCATGAAGTCATAAATGAGAACTCTTTTGTCACCCTCCAAACAAATCCCAGTAGAGTGACAATATTGACATGGGAAGTTCTACTGATGCTTGCAACCTCATTTATGAATTCTTCCCCGTCCCCATTTGAAGCTTGAATGACCTTCACTGCCACCAGATGGCCATCCTGTAGCTTTCCTTTGTAAACAATTCCATAGCCTCCTTTGACCAAGTTTATCTCTGGAAAAACTGGTCATTTTCTTAACATCCGACAGATTGTATCTTTTCAGTGCTAGTGGTCCGTGGTTTCTTATGAAAACCTCAAGATCTTGACTATGTTTCTTCTTTAGAAAAATAGGAGTGGTAGTTGATGAGGCCTTCCATCTGGAATAAAGAATCACGCAGATGAATAAAATTCCTGTTGATCCAGAGACAACCCCTGCGAGTTGAGGACGCGGATGTGTTACCTGGGGACTGACATTGACATTATACAAAAACAGCAGCAGAAACAGAAAATTTTTCTCTTGATTCAGGAGTTACGAGGAAAGCTTTCAAAAACTAAATTCAGACAAGTACTGAGTTTTCTGAGGAGGAGACAGACCAAGCATAAATAGTGCCAAAGTGTTATTTACTTAAATATTTTGTGTAGCCAAACCAGTCTGAACAAAGCAGAGCTAAATTGCAAGGGAAAAAAAAAATTAAATCAGCAACTCTCTCTGTTGAAAGATGAATATGATCCCCTAATTAAAATTAAAGATCTACAGTTGTTGAGTGTGGAGACGAACTCCCACAATCCTAGCTTTGATGAGATGTAAACAAGGCTTGAAGAGAGGCTGAAATGGAGGATTTGAAATGGGCTGAAATCATGGCTAATTGTCTGCCATTGATGCTAGGATTGGGGACAGAAATTGGGATGTTTGTCCTACCCATTTCCACTATAAATAGAGCCAATACTAGCAGTAGCAGGAGAGGGAGAAAGAAGCTGCCATGGGCAGCAGCAGCAGAGAGTAAGAGAGACGTGATACACGAGTGGGGGTAGAGTAGAGGGAGTTCCTCCTCCTCCATTGTTGTATATTTGTAATTTCTCTCTATATAATGATATTGGCTGAAACAAAATAGAATTTGAGAATTTTTGAGTTATAATTAATGTTTGAATTGAAGAGAGAATTGAAAGAGAGGTTGACTTGATTTAATTTCTCTAAGAATGAAAGAAATTTAAAGTGTAATGATGATTCTGAAACAAATAACTAGATTAGAAATCAATAAAGAAATTAATTAAAGAAAAAATTAAAAATTAGATTGGTTAAAATTGCATGATTTTAAGGATTAAGAATAAATTTGCAATAAATAATTAAATTTAAAAATTTATATTGATTCAATTAGAAAATTAATTGAAAATGATAAATTGAATGAGATTGTAGAACTTCATGCAATTGAGAAGGGTAAATTGAATGAGATTATAAAAATTCAAAATCCAAGCACTTCAATGAGAATAAGAAAAGCTTGTCTGAATGTTTATTTCAGTCCATTTAATTCAATCTAGTCCAAATTAATTCATTGATTTCATTCATGTTAGTCCAATTAAATTAATTTGATTCAATTCAGTCTCAAGTTAATTCAACGTCAATTAATTAATATCAATCTAGTCCTATTGTGTTCATTCATTCATTTTTAGCCCCGAATCCATATAATCAAGCAATCTCCGGCGATTAATCCCAATTTCAAATTTTCCGATTGAAGATTTCAATTTGATCTCCCAAAATCCAGCAATCGATATCCCAATCCCAAGATTGTAGCCCAAATCTGCAGTCAATTCCCCAAATCAAATCCCAAATCATTCTAAAAGACACAGGAACAATCGAACACGGGAGGATGAGCATTCATCATTTTTCCAGCTCTCAACGCAATCAAAAAACCAGAGAACAAAATTCCATTCCTCACGGCCATAACCATACACTGCCAAGACCAAGAAAATCCCCCAATCCATCTCAAGCCTCCCACGAGGAACATCAAAGAGGTCTGGAAATTTCTCCAGACTTCAATCTTCCCTGCCAACACTACCTCTCACCCACCCACGGCTGAGAAAACACCAACCTTCAACCGTGATCCGTGACCAGCCTCTCCCATTTTTCTAGACCATCAAATCAATCCCTTCCTGAACCCACCAATCCTCCTTGCGTCCGATTTCCAGTGTATCTTCCTCCCCAAGCAGCCATCATCTTCCCCATCACTGCCAAACCAACATGTGATAGTCACGCCAAAACAAACCAGCCTCCCTCATCCCACAACCAAAACACAAGCACAGGAACAAAAATTGCCCAGCCTCCATCGCTGTCAACACCCAGCCACTTTCAAAACCACCAAAACAGTTTCTTGTCTATCCGATTAGCACACCAACTTACCTTCATCATCGATCAACGACCTTCCTTCTCCAACTATACCACCAGTATCTAGCCTAGAAAAATCACAGCCCCTCCATATCGTAAAAAAATAAAATAAAATAAAATAAATAAAAACCAGGTCCACTCTCCCGAATCAGCAGCTAAACCACCATGTATTCTCCTCTCTCCTTCATGCACTGTGTGACTAGCCTTCTCCTAGTCACCAAGGATCAGCCCTCATACCCTAAAAAAAAAAGATACCAACAGCCGCGCCCCCTCTTTTTTTTTACCCAAAACCCCATTGCTGCTCCTCAACGTTTATATATTTTACCCTTAAAATATACTGCTGTCCAGCTACTGCTTCTTTTTTTCTTTTTCCTTATTTCCCTCTTACTGTTGATATTTTTCCTTTAAAATATACTAGTGTCCAGCTTATATATTTTATAAAAACAATTATATATATTATTATTTTTTACATTAATATTAAAATTAATAATATTATAATAAATTTAATTATAAAACCCAAATCAATTTAATTAGTCAATTCAAAAATCAATTAACCCAAGAACTAAATTGATCCAGATTTAATTAATAAAATATAATTGACTTAATCTCATATGATCTTCTACTTGTTATAAAATTATGTCAAAACCTAAGTAAAAAATCCTTTGATTTTTTTAATTTTTTTATCATTATTTTTATTTAGAAAGAGAGTGTTTAGAAAAGTTTTGATGATGGGAAGAACTTGTGCTCTTTAAAAAACTCTCATGTCAAGAGTCTCTCGTCCATTTCTTACAAAGAGTTTATTCTCGTTTATTTTATTAAGAATGAAACATCGAGTAAGACAAAGAAATAATATTGCAATCAAAATCATACCAGAGAGCAAACAATGAATTGTTTTAAGGTCAAATGAATGATTATTGCCTGAACTATTTTTAAAGTTTGTTTTCTATCAATAAATACTGGTAATTTATATTCATGTTTTATATCTTGCAAGAACCCAAATCATAAGAGGAAAGCAAGCAGGAAAAACCGTATGACCTCATAATACCATAATTGTCAAACTCCAGGGATTTCCTATGTAGCTTCTCTCACTTTCTATTGCTTAAATATTTACATTAGTGCACTTCCATGGAAAGTGCGGGATAGTTTTAGCTGCTGGGGCATCGGAGATATTGTGTGGGAACAATATTGAGTAGCTATTTCACACACCATTGCCATATTATCATTTTACAAACTGTGGCATCCGAATGGATTCTTAATTATGCTTTCTGCATCTTAGCTAATGCTCGATCGATCCCCTCAATCGATCGCCATTGATGTAGGACTCGGATGTTATTTCACCATCTGATGACGACTCCGAGATGCTATACTGGATTCCCGGTT